AAGGTTCACGGACCAGTTAGTTACTCACAGAGCTCAGTGTTGATTTTTTACCCCAAGTCAGGAGAAACAGACCTAGTCATGAACCATAGAAAATAAGAAGAAAAATCCTACCCGGTGCTGCTAGCCCTTCGTGGTCTCCAGTTTTATCCTCACAATAGGTGCTATTATTATTATTCCCTTTTAGTCTCTGAGGTCAACTGACCCATGCAAGGGCACACAGCCACAGTCAGCAGAGTGGTCTTTCATGTGCTTCAAGTCTCTATATAATAAAAGCTGCCTCCGTGGAGCTCAGTGGCCAAATTCAAGGTCCCGAATTTGCTTTTTAGCACATTCTACAACATACAGCTTTTATTTAAAGCCAGATTGTGTATATATCATGTTTATGTAGCCACAAGGACTTTTGAAATACAAGTTAAGAACTTTAGGGAGGGGGAAAAAGTCCTTTTTGGAAGCAAATGAAACAGAAATTTCCAGTTTAAGCCAAAAGTCATCCTGAACATGCTTTTCTTCCAATGCCATTACTTAACAGCAAAGTGTTATATTACCCTTGAATTTCCTGCCCAGGCTGAGGGCAGGCCAGGCCCTTGATGCTATTTCAGTTTTTCCATGTATTTCAGCTCTATCACAGCGGGGCCACCGCCCCTGCCTCAATCTGTCCCCTGGTGTGTCAGTTAGAGAAGAATATGTTTCCCATGCATATATTGCAATTTCTTCCCGGTGCTTCTCAGCCTGCCAGAACAAAAATAAAACCACAACAAGGAGATTTAGATCAGCCCCTTGGTCACACTGTAGTTTTTTTTTTGTTTTTTTTTTTACAGTTCAGGAGGGTTGGGCATCAAACACTCCCAACTGTCATTCGTACATTCCTTCTCAGAATAAAGAAGCATTGGTGAGCGTCCCTGCCAAAGTATTTCCTACCCTGAAAAAGTTAGAGAGTTTTTTTTTCTCCAGGAAAATACTCCACGAAAGGCACAGCGAATTGATGGAGTCAGTTCTGAAAAGGGTTTTTCTCTGCTGTGGAGTGTCACACACTGCCCAGGTGGGCTCTGCCTTAGCAAGGGTCCTAAGTTGTCAAGTTTTGTTCCAATTGGCAAACAGGACACCTTTCCCTTGCTACCTAAAGAGACCCTGAAGTCACTCTCACACTGAGCCATTTATTTTTTGCCTAAGCCTTTTCTGGGCTGGGGAGATGACTTGGTGAGTAAAGCTCTGGCCATGTGTCAATGAGAACCCGAGTTCCCACCTCCAGAACCTACAGAAAGTGGTATGCAGTAGTGTTCATCTGAACCCCAGAGCCCCTGTAATAGAGATACGGGATCCTGCAAGTTTTGGGGCCAGTTAGGCTTACATATTCAGCAGCGAACAACAAATGAAACATCATTTCAAACAATGTGGAAGATAAATACTGATACAGGAGGTTGTTTGCTGACCTCTGCATGTAAGCTCTGACACACAGGCATCCAAACACTCACCCGCTCATGCACACACACACACACACACACACACACACACACACACACGCACACCATGACTTATCCTTACCTCATGCCTTACTGTCTGAATGTTTGTTTGTGGCTCACTCTCCTTATTACTTGTATATAAGTCAAGTGACCTCAAGTCTCTTGTTTATGACACAGTACATAGTATGAGCTCAGGAAAGTTGTTTGGGTGATGAATGTTTTTTTGTGCATACATATTTTACTCTTGTATTATCTGCTTAAAATAAACATTTGAAATAGTTAACTTTGTAGAGGCAGAAAATAGAATAGTGCTTGGTGGGGGTTAGGCAGAGGCTGGAGTCTGGGGATTAGGGTTTAGTGGATACTGAAACTGAGCTGGGGAAGATGATAAAAATTCTGGAGATGGGTGGCAGTGATGGTTGAGCAGCAAAGTGAATTGACTTGATGTCACTGAACTGCGCTCTTAAAATGATGAGGATGTTTATGGGTTTGTATTCTGAACATGTGAGAGTGAAGCTGCTAACTGATTATGAACAGATGTAAGAGGTAAATTGTAGGCATATGCACATATATGGAAACTGGGATAAAGTTATGTATGTCTACCTGCTAAAAGAGTCAATTTCAGAGTAAAGTTAAAAGTTTCACCACCCTAAAAGTACACATCTAAACTGTCTGAGTTAGCTTGCTGGGTGAAGAGCTGTGTGTGCATCTAAGCTTTGCTTCTATTTCCAAGATTGGCAGTTTATATCCCAGCTATCTGCTCATGAGAAGGCTCACTATTCCCAAAATACCTAGCATGTTTTCTTTATTCTTGCACATGGGCATAATACAAAAGCACACACTTGATTGTTTTATTTGTATATTTAGTATTGAGCATTTAAGAGCTTCTCATATATTTATTGTTCTTTTGTAAATATCCTTTTTTTCTAATTCCTATTTCTATGGAGCTGTTTCTTTGTATTGATTTGTATGAGTTCCATGCATAATAAAGGGGTTAATTCCTGACACATCATAATATTTGGAAATAACATTGTAGAGTCTGGGAGAAGGAGAGGGTGGCTCTGGGAAGGGCAGCTTGATATCTGTTGTAGGCCAAAACACATGACAACCCTATGGGTGGCTGCTTTCCCCACAGGATGGCTTCTTGTAAAACATCAAGCATTGTTCACTCATTGCACCAGTGAGCAGTTACTGAGCATGGAGCCACATGTTGGAACTCAGAAGTAGGCAAGACAGGTATTATTCTAGTCCATTAGAGGACAAGGGCAAACACCTTTAGATAAAGGAATAGACTGACCCATGCAGCAAGTGATGTCTGGGCACAATAGAGTGCTAAGAGTCAGTAAGTGTGGAGGCCCACTCCAGATCTAGTGTCAAGAAGAAATCTCTGAACTCCTTAATCCAGCGTCTAACATGAACCCCCTCCCATTATATAAATATTTGGAAATGTTTCTGCCACTTCTTCCTACATTTGCAAGTTTTCTTATGAGCATAGAAAAGAGCACATCACAGGGCACTGCGTTACAGAAGCTTAAAACATACATCGTCATTCTGCCCAGCCATGTTTTCCTCTTCTTTTGCCCTTTGACACCTTTTACTTGATTGCTTTTAGACTTGGATTAATTCCATCTGGCCCTAGGCCCATGCTCATTTGCATGGCTATTCTACATACAAATCTGAGTCTTGAAGAGAGCAGACCAGACTGAGCTGAGAAACCCATTCACATCCACCAAGTGCCTCCCGTCCAGCGTACTCACTGCACAGGAAAGGGGGGCCATGAAAAGCCCATGAGCCAGAGTCATGACGCACCAGGGTTGCCCCATGGTCACGCTGATGGGTGAGTCACTCCATCATCCTTATGTCCCACACGTCAAACACTTGCGGGATTCCATTTTGGGCTTTGGACATGTAATTATGGTTTGCATTGTTTCCAAAGCCACAGTTAAGCCTCGGATTATATAATTAATTGTGAGTGCTTGGCTCGGTTTATACTTTCATCTTCGATGTTTAAAAGAAATTCTTGTTTCACTCAGTAACACCAAATAGTACCCGGCCACACTAGTTGATAAAATATGCATTGGTCTAGTCGTATTCAACTGCTGTTCTGGACAAGTAACTGTTAGTGACTGGATTTAAAATCCGTTAGAGAAAAGCCCAGTGTTTCCTTCTACTTTCTGTACATGGTCCCCAATTCTTTCAGTCTTGAACAATCATATCTTTTGCCCACCAACTGATTAATTATATCAACCTTATTTAATTCAATCGATACACAGAAAGTCTGTTCATACATTCAGTAATAATTTATATTAATTATAAATATTTTTGTATACATTAATAATTTAAATGCTTACACATATTATTTATATTTGATAGATAAAATAGATGTATATTTTAATTTTATGTTAAATTGTTCATTTTATGTTTATTTGCATTCTACATGATGAACAATGCTAAGTATGAAGTAAAGCCTTCTTATAATCCTAATACGACTGAGCTGGTACCCACTTCGAGGCACACACTGTCAGGTAGTTATATCTGAATCAGCTGGACAGCACCCAAAAGTCACATGTACCTGCTGACTCCAGGCCCTAATCCTCAGACTCAGAGGTGTAAACACCCATTCTGGGGTCTTCCTAGAACTCAGGTCCTTTGTGTTGGCCATCATAGCTCTGGGCCCCTCTTCTGCCAAGCCAACAGTAGTTCTGGGATCATGCCAAAGATCACCTGCTCACCTCTAAAGGACTGCTCCTCAGGCCTCCCTGGCCATATTCTCCCATGCCAACTGCTAGCAGATGCATCTTCAGAGCACTACCCCGAGTCCCTTGCCTGGATGCTTGCAACTCTAAACTTGCCTTGTTTCTTCACTGGCTTCTAAGCTGTGGGTACTGTAGCCACAATTACACTTCGTGCCTGCCTGATTCCCCTTCTGTGAAGATGCTCCAAATAGACCCTCAGGGTACAGAGAGTAGGGACCCCTGAGCACCATGGATGAACTTGGTCATTCTCCTGTGACCTGGGTGGGGGAGGGTGTAGCTGACAGAGCAATCAGAGAAGTGTTCATAAAGAGTGTTGAAGCACTCCCTAAAAGGGGAGATGGGTAAGAGGCTAGGTAGAGAAGAAAATGTGAGCTGGTGCCCCAAAGAAAGAACCAACTGTCATTTCCTATTCCAGTTGGTGGGGGGGGGCGGGGGTTGTCATCAAGTATCCTTGTGTATGAGAAAGGCATAACAGAGGAGTTAAATGTCTAGTCCTGCCTGTACCTACTTCCCTACCAGGTGACTCACTGTCTCCTCCAGCTCTGAGTCCAGACCCATCCTGCTTAGCTCTGCTGATGGGAAGTGACTGAGCTGCAGTGAGCCACCCAGGCATCCATAGAAGCATCAGTAAAAGAGCATCTGAGTGACAGCGTGGCTTGCCTCATACAGTGCCTGTTACCAACCTGTGGATTCTGGCTCTTTTAAATTTTGAATGTCAAGTCTGATTACTTCAGATATGATATTTTGCCTGAATGTGATTGATAGAGATGACAAGCCAGAGAAATTATTTTCAATATTTGACGATGCTTTACTTTTACATGGATAACATTTGGCTCAACCAATTCAGATTTAGTTACAATAAGTCTCTTGACCTGATAGTCAATTCATGAAGTCTTCCAAAATTAACAGGCATTATAAGTGCATAGAAAACTTAGAACATGGAATAACTAGCTTTATAGCTTTAGTCTTTCCTACATAGGGCTAATTCCTGTTTGTTGGCTTTGAATATACTTTTTGTCATTTGCTCTTTCTTGTTGATTCAGTTTTCACTTGCCACTTAGGCTGGTCCAGTCTCACTACTCCCTGCCACGCTCCTCATGCACACCCTGCAGCATATCTGCAGTAGAGCTGGATAACTAAGATGTAGTTCTTGTCCCTCAGCTTCTACTCCAGTAGTGATTATATTGAGGTGGTAGAGGCTGTGGTGGCTTTAAACCTACATCTTGAGGGACGCAGAGCAAGCAGGCAAGGAGAAAACAACAGAAGTGACTGCTACACAGCCCTGGAGTCCAGAGAGCAGGGTGGCAAGGCAGGTGTGACTTTCCAAGGGGGCGTCCATGGTGGGAATACAGACCCAACAGGCAGCTCTCTGGCCAGTCCCAGCCCAAGTGCTCTGATTGGCTATTGAAAGATCTGGTTGTGTCACATTAAGTGTGACACTCTTCCTATGGTCCCAGGCCACAGGCCCTCAGTCACCCTCCAGGGTCCACTGCCAAGCTAGAAGAGAGAATCTGAACCTATGCTCTCATTCTTTTAGAGTGAACAGGTTGTCACATTCCGTTTGCTTCTCTTCCTCTTGACTTGAAAGCAAAAGCTGCATTAGACTGTGCCTGCTCAGGGAGACAACCGCAGTCACATCTCATCTCTGGGTCAGACCATCCTCACTGGAGACATCCGTCTGAACCCCTAGAGAGGTCTGCAGCACCAGTCTAAAAATAGATGAACAGAGAAGTACAGACTCAGGGATAAATGTGCCTACCAGGCCCCATGAAAACAGCTATATCAAATTCAGGCTTCCTCCCAGCCAAGCCACAGGGTCGTGAGAGACTTCCCATCTTGCCTTCTTGAGCTGGGAAAGGAGAGGAGGAAGTGGGGAGGCAGGATGTGGTGGATGGGCTGTGTGCTGCTTGGAAGGCAGAGGCCCAGAACAAAACTCTTCCTAACGATTTTGTTAGGGCTATGCGAAGCAGCCGAACACACACACACACACACACACACACACACACACACACACACACACACACACACACACACACCACTGAGAGACAGGAAAGGGAGGGAGGGAGAGAGAGAGAGAGAGAGAGAGAGAGAGAGAGAGAGAGAGAGAGAGAGAGAGAGAGAGAGAGAGAGAGAGAGAGAGAGAGAGAGAGAACCCTAAGTACCTAGAGGAATCTTGGGATTAGGATGGCTCTTCCATGGGCAGCCACCTGGTCTGAAGGCAGGGTCCTTGGAGATGCCCAAGACTATGAGAAGCACAGTACTTGCAAAGCCACGTAAGTTTGTGATTGAGCAGACAAAATCCATAGTTTACAGCCTGCTTCTGATGATTCCCCCATGACTTAGGTAAGTAGATATGCGACTGTCATCCAGGTGCCTTGTCTACCTCTGTGCTGATGTCCCTTCTGTGTCCCTATCCAGCAGTTCTGCTACTGTGAGTTGGACCAGTTCTGTCTCAGGATACAAGGTGCTAGAACTCCAGCAGGAGTCTATCTCGGCCCAGTGGCTTCTGTGATGGAAAAGATAAGTCCTCCTTGCTTCTGATTACTTCCTGGGGGTAGGGATGGGAGGATTAAAAGTAATCCTAGGAAGAGGTGATGACACAGTCACTTCTGGATCCCCAGGGAATAGCTCAGTGACTTCCTGAGTCGGCTGACTGGGCAACTTACCTTGAATGTGTGAAGCTCTGAGCTCGTGTCTGGTAGGTCTCACTGAGGGGTGTAACTAATGTTTTAGAGCCTCAGAGATCCTTACCCAAATACCTGGTGCTGCTGTTTTAAACATTTGGGGATGCTCATGGATGCTCTCCTGCTTCAGATCCTTGTGCCACGAAGAGCAGATCTCAGGCAGCAACTCCCACCTTGTGCCTGTCCTGGAGAAGAGTCCTTCTGAAAAGCTCGTCCTCTGTCATGGATTTGAGAGGGGAGGAAGACAGAATTGTCATTATTCGAGTGACTATAGATGCCAGGCCAAGTGGCATGTGGAGTGGCATTCTAGCCAGGAAGCGCTTCTCTAGATTACTGTAGCAAGCCCAGAGGCAGGATGACATATGGGTAAAACTCACCTAATGTCACACTGCTGCAGCTCATGTCTTAGAACTGTCACTTGCAAACAGCTTGATTTCAGCTAAATTAATCTCTCTGTAACTCAGTCTCATCTCTACAGTTTGATGGGGGGGGGCATGATTTTCCTGTTCCAGGGCCTGTGTGGATCTAATGAACACTATAACATTCAGGCCTTTGGAAGGTGCTCAGAAAATACCATCTTGTCCTGTTTAAACACCTTAATTCATATGGAACTGTGTGTGTGCACAGTTGGACATTTTGGTCAGGGAAGGAAAGGCACAAAGTACAGCCCATGGAACAAACTATGTTTGCCTTTGGGGGACATATTTGGAGATAAGTATGTGGTCTTTGGGGGCACATTCACTTACAGCCATAGCCCACCTCCCCCAGAAAAAAACAAACAATTCCTATGAAGTAGTTAAGCCATGATTTAGATCAAGCCATTCCTTGACCCTCCTGCTTTTTATTTCTTGAGACTTTATGCAGCTACTTAATTTAGTGCTGAAGACTTGAAGTATTGTGGAATACATTTGCATATGGTGATGGATGGGGCTTCCAACAGACAGCCTAGAATTTACTCTGCCAGCATTTTTATTACCCCTGGGTTTCACCAAACAGCAAACCTGCACAGGACACAGGGATGTGAGCACTGCTCTCTGGTTGACAAGAGATTAGGTGGTCAGTTTAAAACTGCCCAGGAAGCCTAGGGAGATGGCTAAGAGGTTAAGGTGCTTCCTGTCCAACCTGAGTACCAGATTTGGGAATCCTCAGAAATCCACAAAAATGCCAGATGGCCATGGTGGCCTACCTGTAACTCCAGCCTCAGAAGGTGGACATGGTGGTCCTCAGAGCAGGATGACTAGAAAGACTAGAGCTTATCAGTGAGCACTGGGTTTAGCTGAGAGACCCTGCATCATTGAATACAGTAGAAAAGTCACTAAAGATAATTCTTTAGTATTGGGCTTGCAGAAACACACACACACACACACACACACACACACACACAGAGAGAGAGAGAGAGAGAGAGAGAGAGAGAGAGAGAGAGAGAGAGAGAGAGAGAGAGAACAAACTACTACCCAGAAAACCAGGGGCAGGCAAACTGAATTGCCATTAAGACACTGTTCTTTCACAAAGAGGTAAAGTGAAGGAACTGACCATCTTCTGCCCATGTGTTCTTAATTAAAAACAGGGGCCATCAGGACTTTTGAAAAACAATGAGACTTTGCTAGCCCAGTTAAAAATCCCTGTCACCACAAGTCTGTGATGGAGCTTCTGAAGGACAAAGCATGTGGCATGTATTGTGACTTAGCTATCCAATGGCATGGCTGCCCAGAGAGTGAGTCCCTGGGGTCCTCAAACAGCCTGAGGGGTACAGGGCAGGGCAGGGCAATGGCCTTGATCCACCTTCCCTGTAGCTTTGGATGGCCACTGTCCTCCTGGGGAGAAAATTGTACCACTTTATTTCCCCTTTCCAGATGCTACTTTACTCCCAACCAAACTGAAGTCCAATAGTCCCGGTCAAGTAAAACACACCAAGACCTCAGAAATGCTTGCTCACCCAAGACCATTTTTCCTGACTTGTCATTTGGTCAGTTATCACTGGGTTTAGGTTCTGGGTGGTCCACACTCCTCTGGGAACTTGGTAACTTCCATGGTTTCAGTTTCCGGAGTTTTCTGCTTGCCTAGGAGTTCCAAGGAAGCTGAGCTTGCTGAGGAAGTGGGCGGCAGCAATCCAGCTGCAGAGATGGTTCAACATGGGGAAGCGAGACTGGACTTAGGAGCTGGCCCAAGCTGAAGTGGCTGCCTCTCGCCTGCCAGCTGAAAAAGATGCTCACCTGAAAATGCTCACATATTGGATACTAATTTATACAATTTTTATAGGTGCCATTAGCTCTCCTTCTTCCCTTTTGAGGTGTCAGCATCGCTAAGCCTGAGCAGCATCCTCCCTAAAGGCCCAAGCCTGATGCCACTTGGGTGGTGTTCAGTCTCTGACTCTGCATGCTTTACTGCATTCCTCTAATTTGAAGTATGCAAACTAGGCTTCTCCCTTCACAGCCGTCCCCTGCAATTTGGTTGAAGAGCTGATCACATTTCACAGCAAGAGGATAGAGACTGTCCAAAGCAATGGAGATTGCGCAAATGAACAATTTCCATTTATAGCCCTCCTGGGGGGCAATAAACACAGAAGCATCTGCTGGGAGGACTAAGGTGTGGCCTCGATTCCCAGCTTTCTCGGTTCTTATTTTGGGAGGCAGAAGGATAGGAAGTTATGGCACTCAGAGCCTAACACACAGCGCCTAGTCCAACGCACCATGGGGATGGCTGATATGGAAGAAAGAAGCAGGCCAGTTGTCTTCTAGAACAAGATAGGGAGAGGCCCTCTGATAACTCTGATAACGGAACTGGTTCTTAGCAGTCTAAGGCCACCCCCTAACTAGAGGAGCCCATTAACTGGTGCTCTGCAAAACAAACAAAACGGCACAGCTGGGTCTCCAAACAAGCAGGAATCTTTCCAACAAAAAACAATGTCTTCATTTATTCACTTGAGATTTCCATACGTGTATACAGTGTATTTTGGCACATCAACCCCTGATCTCTCTCAATTCCTCTAGCACCCCCTTGCAGCTTCATGTCTTCTTTGGTTTTTGTTTTGTTTTCATAACCATGAGTCCACATTTTGCTGCCTGAATGTGAATGGATGCAGGGCTATCCACTAGAGCATGGGAAACTTATCTGTAACTATGCCTCCAAAGAAAAATGACTCCCTCACCCACCCTGGAGTTGCCGTCAACTGCCAATAGCTCCTCAGCCAGTGGTAGAAACTTGTGAGCTCTCCCCTGTCCAAGGATGGCACTTCGACTGGCTTGCCATTACAGCACAATTGCAGTGAGCTCGGGGACACAATGTCCGTATCACAGTTTCACATGCTCCGTCCCACACTCCACTGCCGCACTCTTGAAGCCTCCTCTCCAGAGAGTGGGCAGGATGGGGGGAGGTCACTATAAATGTCCCATTCAAGGGGGAGTGCTCAGCCCTGTTGAATAGATATGAGTCTCTGAAATAGCCTGTCTGCCACAGAAAGAAACTTCTGGGGCCAAGGCTTAGAGCAGTGCTAATCTAGGGGTGTAAACATGAACGTTTAGAAAGAAGTCATAACAACATGACCACTTAGCAAACAAACAGTAGTAATTCCCCCGATCCCCAGAGACTGGCTTCCCCAACCATGGGTTTTAGACCAAATTGAAGCAGCAGGCATGAATTCCCTCCTGTGACAGGCCTAAAATCCATTAGAAAGCGATTTTGGTCACCTCTATAACAGTCATGTCACTAGTGCACCAGTGAGCACATTTTGCCTGGCAGGTTGGTATTGGAGCATGAAAGATTCAGCCCTAGGTAGAGATCACCGATGAAAAGCCTCCTCCCATGGTTCGCAGAGCATCTTTTGACAGCAGGAGAACTAGCCAGCAGGGAGGAAGTGTCTCTGTCAGTTCAGATTGATTTGCCAATATCCTACAACCAAATTGTGCAATGGCTTCAAAAATAGGGTCTTACCATCTAGTTGAGGGTAATGGCAATAGCCTGCATTTTGGGGGTGTTTCTGGGACTTCCCTGTCTTTCCACAACTTTATACCCTGGCCAAACACTTCTTCTAGAGGTAGCAGGGACATGTGTTTGTTAAAATTAACCAGATAAAGGACAGCGATGCCAAGGGGAGATCCAACTGTCTGGATCACCATATCCAGTCTTCATTCTCTGTTCTGGAGAGCCCAGAGTGCACCTAGGTGGGAATGTCCTCTTGTGGCTCCTGGGAGATTATAAGAAACTAGACAGCACTGGATCCAGAGCTCTACATCTGGTCAGGAACAGCATTTTATCAAACCCAGTATGATGGTTCTTGGCTTTCTGTTCAGAATTGTTTCATCAAGACCAGCTAGTGGGAAATAAAGCTTGTATTGTGGCTTGTGTTGCAGCTACGCAGAGGGAAGCCACCTCTCACAGGTCACGGTGCACTGGCCTTCTGGGGTAGCAGATGGGACTGCATCAAAGGTTTTCTGCTGTGACCCTGGCTTGTTTCTTCTTGTCTGATCAACCAGGTAGCTTTCCTAAGAGCAGATCGGCCCCACTGGGCAAAGCACTCAAAAGCTGGGTTCAGACTCCTCACTCAGCCCCAGGATGGGAATTCTGCGCTGAGATCTTATCTTTGCTGATCTTGGCGCATGCTGTCTTGATGGGCCCCAGATGAACCCCTACAGTGGCCAGATGGATGGATATCACCAGGGAAAACCTCCCATCACAGCATGTCATTTCCTTTCTCAGGAAAGTAGGGCTGGGGAGAGGAGGGCCATGCGGGACTGGCTGGAGAAGAGAATTAGAGCTAGTTTAGAAGTTTCTGTGAAACCCCCTCCCGCCCACCTAAGGAATAAGGGAAATTTTGGAATTACCTCCATTCCCCTTCTGCTTCTGAAGGATGTGTGTTGTGGCACTGAGCACAAAATGTACCAGAACGAATCCAGAGGAACCAGAGTTGCCTGTACAACTCTCTTTTCTAAGAAACATATTCTTTCTTGGGGTGGTTGCTTTGCCTCCGGGAATGTCTGTATACTACATGTGTGCAGTGCCCATGGAGACCAGAAGAGGGTAGAAGAGTCCCCTGCGGATGCTGGGAATTGAACCCAGAGCCTGGGGAAGAGCATCCTATGCTCTTAACCTCTGCCACCGTGTGTTCTGGGTGTATTCTTCTCTGGCAGGTTTGTGCCGATGCTGTGTATACAGCAGGCTTGTGCTGATGCTGTGTATACAGCAGGCTTGAACTGGGGAGCACCCGCACAAAGACAGGTAGTCCCTTATGTGTTTTCTTCTTTTGTTTCCTCAAGTCCTCAAACAGGAGACTGGACTTTGAATTCTATCACAGGATAAAGACTCTTTGTCAGCATGATGGGCAGGGGAGTCATGAACACTTCCCATTAAGGCTTCAATTCACCATGGACTCTTGCCTGAGATAAAGATTTCTAGGCAGCCAGTGGCAGGACAGGGAGGCTGGTTGGGAACTGGAGGTCGTTGGTCCCTAATTTGGATGAAGGTGTCTGGACGAGCACAGAAGGACTCGTATACAGACAGCAAAGGCATCAGCCATGCTACCACCTTCCTGATCTATGCATCAACGATTCTCTAGTCACTGACTGGACAGGGCTATGATGGAGGCTGCTTGGGAAGAAGGCAACTACCCCTTTTCTCTTAACAAATGCTAACAGAAGCTTCTCTGCCCACCGAGGCCAGCAATGCACGAAGCTGGGCTCACCCTGCACTGTGCTGTCACCCTTGGCACAGTGCCACAGTGGTCAACATGGTTGTGAGATCCTGAGGCAGTCACTCGTCCCTTCACAATACAGGAATCCCACGCCCGTGACAAACTCAAGACTCCAGATAGCTGCTCTTGGCCCAGTCAAGCCTTCCTCAGGTTCTCCCAAGACCAACCTGGCCTAGAGGAGCATTAAGGAAGCAGAAGGAAAATAGAATTTATTCTTAGAAAAAAAGGAACACCGCATGAAGACCGACTCTACTTGCTTCTCCTTCCTTCATCAATTGCTTTCTCAATAGGGAAGGAAACACAAGGGTCTCACATCTGTTATTTTCATCACAGTGAGATCTCTCCCCCAAACACGGGCAGAGATTTCAGTGTGACTGGAAATGGCTAGGGTGCTTTTTCTCTGGAATTGTGTGGGCCCAGACTGAAGATTGGACACCAGCTGGCTCATTTTCTATTTTGATCAAAGTAGAAGAATCGTCAAAATATTCCGTGGGATACATGCCTGTGATCCCACCAGAGCATAGTGAGTTCAAGCACAGCCTGAGCTACATGGGAGGTTTGAGGCCAGTCTATGTTATATAGTGATATTCTATCTCAGAAAAACCACTTCCACTATTTCAGAAAAGCTACCTCTCTAATCTCAGATCCACCTCCTCAAAGTCTGTGGAATCAATGTTGTATTTTTTTTGTTTGTTTTTTGAGACAGGGTTTCTTGTATTGTTTTGGAGGCTGTCCTGGAACTCGATCTGTAAACCAGGCTGGCCTCAAACTCACAGAGATCTGTCTGCCTCTGCTTCCCGAGTGCTGGGAGTAAAGGCGTGCGCCACCAATGCTGGGCTCAATGTTGTATTTTAATTGTTGTACATATGAACTCATGGACAGTGTGGTTTCATTATTAACACAATTAAAGTTACTTAATTCCTTTAAAATTGACAGTTGTGTGTGTGGAGTGGCAGGGGCTGGAGAGATGGTTCAGCAGGTAAGAGTGGTGTACCATTCCTGCAGAGGACCTGGGTTTGGTTCCCAATACCCACGTAGCAGCTCCCAGCTGTCTATAACTCCAGTGCCAAGGGATTCAACCCCTTCTTCTGACCTCCAAGCATCAGGCATATACATGGCATTCATGCATACATGCAATGAAATAAACAAAAGTCAAAACAACAACAACAAATCTTCAAAAATAAATAAAAAACAAATAGTGGTATTCCTATTTCATATTTATGATCTGGATTTGTGTGCCTATAATGCTACTATTTAAAAATCATAACACCATGTAAAGAGTAAAAAGCTTACCCGCCTGACTACAGTCATATTCGAAACAACTCTGGATGTATTTCCTAACATCTCCTGATTGATTGAACAGCAGCATTACAATTATATTTCCACATCAGGAATATGTCTTTCATTGCCACGGTTCTGAAACAGAGTCACAAGGAAGTGCAAAGACTATGAGAGTAACATACATTACCCACCAGCCACTGATGCAAAATTAGCAACCAGTTAGTAAACCTCCTCCTTGTGGAACATAAATGTGACAATTCTAAACTGGCTCCTCTTCATGCAAACTGCCTCAGCACGTGCAGCAGTGGGGACAACTCTTGCTAGGGGACAGAGACAAAAAATCCCAACCTTCATATTATGTTTCCAGGAGGGTGTTGTGTTAAGTTCCAGAGAGAGCTGGTAGAACATTCATGAGGAAATGGCATATTTTCTTTCAGATCCACCTGTTCCATCTCAAAGTGTTCAGTTCTGTAGAGCAGGTCCCTGATGTTCCAGGAATAACAGACCCCTCCCTCTCTCCTTTCCGTGCTCCACTGACCCAGGCCAAGGGGATCTATGAGCTTTGAAACAAGATTCTTTGCTCTGGACTTGCTGGATGCCTGGCCTCCTCTCATTTTCCTGGCTCCATGTGTGCTGGAGAGACAGGGTTTTGTCCTGTCTGGAGAGCAGCATGATTAGAAAGCCATTTGGCCCCCACACAGCCTCTGTGGTTCTCACCCGGCTGGTTTTGTTCTGTTTTGGCTGTGTGCCGGGGTGTCTAGCAGCTCAGTGATGTTCCATCTCCTCTGCCTGGGGTCCGGGCTTGGCCCGATTCAGAAAGTGTCAGGTGCTGTCTGGATAGAAGCCTGTGGGTCACAATGGAGTCCCAGTGCCGTGACACCCACCCAGCGCAAAAGAGACCGAGGGGCTTGACAAGCTGTCTGGCTGCCCTGCTGCATGGCTTCTTTGACTGTTTACTCAGTGCCTGGGGTTCAGAGAGTGGCAGGAGACATACCCAACACCCAGCCTCCGCTCTTGAGCCCTCCACACTCCCAAATCCTGGTTCCATGGTGAGAGGCATCTTTAATTCAGCCCCTTGCACCCCTCTCTCCATCCCAGAATTGGCCCTCCTAGTCCTGCCCTCCAAACCCCGTCTCCAGCCCTCTTCCACACTACCGACTTGCAAACTCCATTGCTCTTCTTTGGTTCTCTCATCACCCATGGTCAAATTCCTCTTAACATACAGCATTGGTAGTGTCATATAAAGTTCTTGCAGGTCTCCAGTGGTGTTTTTCATGGGCTGGAACTTCCTCAGCTAGTGCTCTGGCCACTGCTTGTTCCTTTAAATAAAGTTTTATTGAAACACAGTCATACCTATTCATTTCTGGATTATTCATGACCACCTTTGTATCATAATGAAGTCACCATGACAGAGTCCACATGCGTGCCAAGTCTGACTATTTTTCATTTGGAGGCCAGTGAGATGACCCAGTGGGTTAAGGCACCTGCTTCTAAGCCTGAAGATCTGAGTCTGACCCCTGGGAGCTACATGGTGGAATGAGAGAACCTACTTCATGAAATTGTTTTCTGATTTCAGCACATATGTGTATTTACACACACACACACACACACACACACACAAATGCACATAATTAAATCATTTAAAAAGGATTATATTTGGTCCTTTACAGAAGACATTTGCAGACCCCTGCTCTATAATATGGTTGCAACTCCCCTTACCACCCTGGGCTTTGGTGCTGCAGTGCCTTGGGTTGTACTAATCAACCCTGTTCCCTGGTGAGTACATTCTTCCAAGCCCTTCTCAAGAGGCCCCTCTTCAATCAGGCTTTTCCTGGTTCCTGTTTCAGTGTGATCTCTCAGCATAGTCACACTGGGCCCTGACTCACTGTGGAGCCTGTCACCTTCTCATTTGATCAGCTCTGTAAGGTCCTTGGGAGGAAGCAGTCAAGTCTCACTCATCTTTGGAATCATCCAGAGCTCACTGTGTGCACATAGTCATCCATTAACTTTTGGAGGCTTCCTTGGCTCAGTAGCTTCTAGCATTAGCAATCCTCCTCCTGCTTCTTGTTGGGGGCAGACAAGATGAGTAAATGAATACAAACTATGTTCTCCTGGGAAGGTTGAAGTTTTGCTGTGTGAGTCTTAGGTTGGCGCTGATGAGTTATTAAGGAAATACCCAACCCTGTACAGGAAAGGATGGAGTTGTAACCAGAAGAACGCACAAAGAAAGGATCTTTGACTCCTGCCTTCTTGGCCTCTGCTACAGTGAGCCATTTCAAGGATATGTGAGCATCAAGCTATCCCAAGAGCATGTGTAGGGGTTACTATGATTTGATTATGACTTGTGCCCCACAGGCTCACTATTGACTGCTTCCCCTCAGCCAGTAGTGCTAATTTTTGGGTGTGATTTGAACTTTGGGAGATTTATCTGAGGGCAGTGCTCTGCACAAGTTATTCCTTCTCAGTCCCGATTCTGATCCCTTCCCCTTTCTGCTTCCTGTTCCCCATGAAATAAAGGACCTTGTCCACCACATGCCGCCGCCATCATGACAAGTACAGAAGCCAAGTAGAGACAGGGTAAGCCCTCAGAGACTGTAAGCTGAATCAGATCTTTCCTCCTTCTAATTGTTCTCTGGGGTATTTTGGCACTGCTATGCAAAGCCACTGTTGCTGGGATCACTGGCAACCCTTCACAGACACTTCAAAGTTCTATCCATGGAAGGAACATGGCAAAGGAGGCAAGAAGAAGTCAGCAGAGAGCAACACAGAAAGGAGACTGTGGACAGAGCTGCTCAAGCAGAGAGGCGTGGCCTTGTGATACAGGTACACGGTAGTTTCCTGGGTTCATTTTACTCACATTTTTCTCTGAAAATCCTGGGGTACAAAATTCAAGCTAGTTTCATCAGGACAGTGTTTGTCTACAGGGTAGGCTGGGCAGGGTGACTCTGGGGTCACCCAGGCTCCAGACATTAGCACTGGCAGCTGCGGACGTGGCTCATTGCATCCAGTCTTTGTCACCATGGTCACACTGCCTTGTTTTCTGTCTGTGTCTGTTCTTCCTGCTTCCTCTTTATATTTAAACTCTGTTAGAGTAATCCAAGGGAATCACCCATCCGCAAGATCCTTTAAAAAATTAATAAGTAATTACAATGGGCTAAATGTTTGCATTCTTCTAAAATTTCTATTTCAAAATTTAAATAATAGCCCTTTGAGAAAGCATTTAATGTTTTTATATAGTATATACAATGAAAATATTATGGAAGTCAAACTAATTAACGAGTCTGTCACCTCATGTTTACTGTCTTTTAGTGTGGCAAAACCACATAATATCCTCTTAGAAAATTTCAAGCACAAAATGCAGTATTATTAATGTACAGTAGATCTAGAACTCATGTATCCAACACAATTGAAAGTTGATGTACTTTTGGCCAGTATCTCCTCAGCCTCTGGCAGAAGCTCTTCTAGTCTCTGCTTCTATATGCTTGATTCTATAATCCACATGTGAGAATATGTCTTTCAGTGTCTGTCTCACTTCACGTACCATACATACTCCAGGTTCACCCATGATGCTCCAACTTGAAGGATTCCCTTCTTACTTAAGGCTGTATAATATTCTACCTGTCATACACACTTACATGTGTGTATGTATTCAAAATTTGCATATATATCACATTTTCTCTATTAGTCTATTAATTAGTCTTGTCCTATTCTTTTTGTATTGACAGACACAGGTTGTTTTCATGTTTCGATTCTTGGGAACAATGCTGCAATGAACCTGAGGCTGTAGATATCTCCCTAAGACACCGATTACAATTCCTGTAGCTTTATAATATGCTTTGAAATCAGGGAATTTGATAACAACAGTTCTATTCCCTTTCAAGACAGCTGTGACTAACTAAACAGGATCCTCTGTAGTTCTCCATAAATTCTAGGGTTATCTTTTTCTATTTCTTTGGAAACTGAAACCAAGCTTTTGAGAGGAATTACATAAACTATATATTGCCTTGTGTTGTGTGGACACTTGACAATGTTAATTCTTCCCATGAGCAGAGATATCTCTTTAAATTTTACTTTATATGCATGTGTGGAATGTGTTGTCTGTGCCGTGTATGTGTATATGGTACATGGATTTGAGTATGTAGGTGTGCAGAGGTCAAAGGACAAAACTGGGTCTTTCTCTATCACCTTCTGTTAGTTTGCCTTGAGACAAGGTCTCTCAGTGAGCTGGAAGTTCTCCATTTTGGCTGGGCTGGCTGGCTTCATGAGCTCCCAGGATCCACCCTTGCAAATACTAGGGTTGCAGGCCCTCATAGACAATGCTTAGTCTTTTGTGTAGATGCTAAAGATTCAAGCTCTGGTCCTCATATTGAACCATCTCCCTAGCCTGATACTCTTATTTGATTGTACCCCCTACACTTTCCTTTCCAGTGAAATGAAAATTTTCATCTTCTTGGTTAAATGCATTCCTAAATTAATTTTTAACTTGTAATATAAATGGGACAGTTTACTTGATTTACTTTTCATATGGTTCATTGTTGGTATAAGGAGAGCTGTTTCCTTTGGGATTTGGCTTTTGTAGCCTATGACCTTATGTGAACATAGTTCCAAGAGTTTATTTTTTAAAATAAAGTCTTCAGAGTTTTATCACAGAATCATGACACCCAGAAATAGAGATCAAGTCTTCTGTTGATGCCTTTTGTTAAATTTTCTTGTCTAATCACCCTGTCTAGGATTCCCAGCACTATGATGAGTAGAAGCCGTGGTGGCAGACATTCTGGCCTTGTGCCAGACCTCACAGGAGAGCTTCCAGCTTTCCCCATTGATGGTAGCGATGGACTTTGCATAAATAGTTTGTACTGTACTGAGATCAGCTCATTCAGTGACTACTTTGAAAATTATTACTGTGAACAGAAATTGAACCTTGTTAAATGATTTGTTTTTGTAAATGTTAAAATTATCACATTCTCTTCTCATTCTGCTAATGTGGCATATCTATTAGATTTGTATATGCTTAACTTACCATGTTTCTCAGAGGTAAGTCCTACATGGTTGTTGCCTACTCTTCTTTTATATGTGGGTGAATTTACTAGTAGTGTTTTTTTTTTTTTGTCAGCCTTAAGGATTCACAGATCTATGCTTCTGCCTTGGATGTTCGATGGGATTTATAGGTGAAACTACCACCAACAGGCTTTTGTTGTTCTGTTCGGAGGTTGTGGATTACTGATTACATTTCTTTGTGGTTGATGAAAGGCTTTCTACGTCTTTAGGATTTGGCTACAATAGGTTGTACATTTCTCAGAATTTGTCTATTTCTTCTGTGCCATCTACTTTGCGGATTTAAAATGTTTATAGAAAAACCTTCATTCAATTGAATTACGTTTGGCATACAATTACTTCCATGTATCTTTTAAGCTTGGCTCGACAGTTTCTCCTGGAAAGTGATGAATAAGCTAAATTGAGATGTGAGCAGGCTGTAACCTGACATTTTTTCCAACAACCCAGCTTTTAGCCTTGTTGATTCCTCTGTTATCCTGTCTTCCACTTGATTTACATCTGTTCTACTTTTTATTATTTCCTTTCAGTAACTCTTGGCTCAATTTGTTATTTTTCCCTAAATTCCTTGAGGTGTAAAGTTGGTTTGTTTATTTGAGACAGTTTTTAAAGTCTTCATATACTGTTTTTGTGGCATCCCAAGCTTTTGTGTGTTGTTTTTTCATTTTGTTTGTCTGAAGATATTTTAAAATTCCTTTTGATTTCTCCTTTGAAGTGATGGCTATCAAGAGTTTGCCACTCTGTTCCACGCAGTTGTAAATTTTTCGTTTTTTGCTGTCATTTATTGGTGTCTCCATCATGTTCTTCAAAGGTACTCAGAAGGTCTTTGATCTTGAGCAGTGCACGAAGGCCTGTTTTTTGTGTGATCTTCCCTGAGATCTGTTCTGGAGGCTGTTCTCCTGCCACCATGTCCTAGTTAGCTATGATCAAACAAGGACCCAAACCAGCTTGGGGAAGAGAGGGTTCATTATTTGGCTGAGAGGTTGCAGTCTACCATCAGGGGAAGCCACAGCAAGAGCTCAAGGCAAGACCTTGAAGCAGAAACCACAGAGAACTCTGCTTACTGGCTCACTCAGCTCAGCTTGCTTTCTTACACACTCCAGGCCCACCTATTCGGGAATGGCACTGCCCACAGTGGGTTGAGCCTCCTCCATCAATCAACAGAAAAGAAAATGCCCCCACAGACATGCTCACAGACCAGCTGGACGGAAGCAGTTTCTCAATACAGATTCCCTCTTCTAAGGTGACTCTAGTTTGTGTCAAGTTGATAAAAACTAACAGGCACACATCATGTGGGTATTGGGATTTGATACCAGGTCATCAAGCTGGGCCACAAGCATCTTTATCCATTGAGCCATCTTGTTAGCCCAGTAGTGTTGTTCAAACCAGTCATTTCTTTATTGATTTTCCTTCTGAATACTCTATTAATGAAAGTAGGTGTTGAAATATCCAATCCTACTGTATTGCTGCTATCAGTCTCTGACTACGGGTCATTAGCCATGTAAGTATCTGATGTTGGCTGCATGTATATCATGATTACTGTGTCTTTTAATACTTCTATAATTACAGAATGACCCTTTTTTATCTCTGAAGACATATTTATTGTGTTATTCCCCTCCTTCTCCTGGTTGCTATTTGTGTGGACCACACATTCCACCCCTTTAGGTCTTGACTCTAAAGCTTGTATAAAGTAAGATACTGAGGCAATCAAGATGGCTCAGTGGGCAGAGGTGCTTGTCAAGAAGACTTATAACCAAGTTTGATCCCCAGGGACCCATGGGAAATTGACCTCTTTCCCATGTGTGTGGCGGTGACATGCATATGTATGCTGTACACATGTGTGTACATGAGCACACATACACAAATTATACATGTGTATATATATATATACACAAATATGCACATGTGTATATATTACATATTATATTGAAATAATATATTATATATTACATATTAATACCTATAATATGTTAGGAAATCTACTGAATTTTCTTTTCTTAACTCATTCAGCCATTCTTAGTCTTTTGATTAGGGAATCTATGCCATTTACATTTCACACCACTGGTATATGATGATGAATCCCTAAGTCCATCTTGTTAACACTGCACTTGAGTGTGCTCTCATTCTCTCTCATACATTTTTGAGACAGGGCATCAGTATGTAGCTCTGGTTTGACCTCTAACTCACAGACATCCTCCTGCCTCTGCCTCATGAGTGATGGGCTGCCTGACCACGACTTGTTTCTTTCTCTTTCGCCTTCTTCTTTAGCAGATGGCTCCTGGGGTAGTGATTTGCTTTTATTCTATTCGTTTTATCCTGAGGGTCTTGTCTGTTTTTGTTGTTGCTATGAGGTTTGGCATAATATCATGTTGTTATACACTGTTTTCCAGGTTATCTTTGCCCTTGGCTTTTGGCTGTCAGTGTGTCATGGTGTGGTATTTTGGCATCCTATTTGGGCATTTCTGAGTTTCATGACTTTAGATGATATTTTCCCTCTCAAGATCTGGGATGTCTTCAGACGTTATTTCTTTAAGTAAACTTTAAGCTATTTTCTTTCCCCTACTTGAGAAAATTTACTGGTTCCCATGAGATATCCCTTAAATTATGTAAACTCCATACACTCTTTCTCTCACTCTGTAAAATTCTAAATGCCCTCTGTTCGTGTCCGCCTGTCTTCCTTCAAGAGCTGGGGTCTAATGGATTTTCACTAGGTTGCTAGAGGATGTTTTGAAGACACAGTCGGACTACACTTCCCCTCTTCCTCTGTTGTGTGCACATAGGCATATATGTGAGTATGGTGCATGTATGCTTATGTGTGCACATGCATGTGAGTGTCAGGAGACAATCTCTGGTGCCTTCACATTGGTCAAGGATTTCAAGGAGGGAGATTGACCAGTGAGCTCTATTATCCACCTGTCTCCTCATTCATCTCACCATCAACTGATTACAAGTGTGTGCCACCACACCGTGTTTTACATGAGTGCTTGGAATCGTACTCAGGTCTTCACATGTGTGAGGCAAACATGATATCAATTCAGCCATATCCTCACCCCCTTTCCTCATCGTTCTCTACTCCTGACTCAGGATGTGACCACTGGCTTCTGCCATGATGTGTTGCCCTGTCTAGAAGCCTCCACAGTGATGTTTCCCAATCCTGCTCTTGAAGTCCCCACATGTGAGTCAAAATAAACCTTCGTGCTTTAGAAGTATCCACATCAGGCATTTAGTTATGCTAGTGGAAGCTTGCTGACGTGGATGGAACAACTGTGTGACGCCACGGATGATGCGCCCATGAGTTTGCTCTCGGTGCTCTTTCTGAACACTTCTCTTGGTTATATTTTCCTCAGAGAAAATAAACATAATTCAGTTATTCCCCTCAGCACAAATGACACAAATGGTCAAAATGTGTTGTTGTTGTTGTTTTACAACTGATAGAAATGCCTTCCATTTTCCCATCATAACTGGCAATAGCACTTCAGATTTCAAGATTGCTGTCAAATTTTTAGAAACTTCTGTCAAATATTTTCTATATGCTTGCCAGTGAGCACACAGTGGACTGATTCAGTGGCAGCAGACCTGCCTTAGGAGAGGTGCTGTGGGGTATGGATACATGGTTGCCTTTCTCCAAATGAGAAATCATACTATGTGGTCATTGGTCTGGCCCCATGTCTTCAGAATCCTGAGCTCTCTTTTGCTGTTTAGTGTGTTTCAATAGCAATTGGCTTAGACACTGATGGCGGTTACAAAGCCAGGAGTCCCAACCCCTCATGGAAGACCCAAACAAGTTCTCAGCCACATTAATGAAGGAAGGGTTTGGGGTGGGGACACATGTGCTACCTGGACACTAGAATCACCTCTAAATGTGTTGACAGATCTATCACCCTTCCTCTCTTCCCTAGCATCCTAGATACCATCCAGTGGCTTTATCAAGGATTTATCTGGAGCTTGAATTGGATAGGGTGAGTGATACTTAATAGTGATCTGCACTCCAAAGGAGATTCCCACAATGAAATTTTCACCTTCCATTCATAAAAAATGTGACTCCACCATCACCCAGTGCTTTGGGGTTCTTCTTCTTCTTCTTCTTTTTTTTTTTTTTTGGAAACAGGGTTTCTCTGTATTGTTTTGGAGGCTGCCCTGGAACTCTGTAGACCAGGGTGGCCTTGAACTCATAGAGATCTGCCTGCCTCTGCCTCCTGAGTGCTGGGATTAAAGGCATGCACCACCAACGCCCAGCTACTTTGGGGTTCTTAACTGGATTCTATGCATAGGACCAGTAGATAGAAGAAAGGGATGGCAAGATGGTCAGAGGTTGCTTTGGGCAGGAAAAGATAGCAATTACATGTGTCTCTATAGCCTTAAATACTTGCAAAAGATTCTAGGACTAGGTTTTGGCAAGTTTACAATTGTTTCTGCCTTAAGGATGTTAAACTGTCCCACTTCCTGGTAGCCAGTTTTAGGGAAGGAAGTATCTCAAACTTACCCGTCTGGACCCAGGCAAGCTCACAGAGTGGGCTCCCGATGCACTGATGTGTGAAGGCCATTGGATGGACAATTCATGTACCATCCAACAATCGAACTGGATACATTTGACCATTATTCCACTCTCACAGGGCAGGGCTGGCCAAGAGAAGGACAGAGGAATCACAAAACCTTCGACTGCAGGACTCAAGCCCAGATACAGAAATTTAGCTTCTTAGATCTTCCCAGGGGTTGGTGCCTGGCCAGATGCATGGGGTGTCTCCTCTCCTGATGTGCTCCGTGCTCCAGGGCAGACCAAAGGGACAGCTGGGAACATCTGGGGTCCATATGCTGCTGCCTTCCCTAATGGCTCTGAGAGCAATGGAAGGAAGGGATTGGTCTTAATCCCCGGAATCCTGCAGGTCTGCTTTTGGTCTCCGCAAAGTCGGCTTGCCCCCTTTCCTCTTTGAGGATGAGATTCAAGGGACACAAGCGCCTTGTATATTAGGTAGGAACTTGTCAGTGGAGGAGGGTTGGTTTTGGAAGAGTTCTGCTGTCAGTCCTACAAAGCTCCCGCATCATGTTGGGACATGATGACAAACCCATCTGCTTTCTTGCAGGCCAGCACTCCAAGGTGTCTTAAGTTAAGCCCAGATGCTGGCTCATTGTCCAGCTCTCTGCCTTCCATTGTGGCTGCTCCAGGACCATGCAGTGCAATTTGCTAGGCTGTGAGATGCTCAACAGAGAACACTTTTAGCTTCCTCTCTGTGTTCTCACCCATCCATACCTTTGCCCTAGTGTTTTACGTCTCAGGAAAGTGATCTGGGGAGGAGGCATGCCTGTTCTGTGTGGACACTTAATGCACAGTTCAAGGAAGATGTTAAGAGCTGCATGGTCAGTCCATAGAGTTTCAAGGGAAAGTCAAGTTTGCTTGCAACTTTAGCTTGTCAAGGCTAGGATCAAGAGTAGCTGCGCCTTTTAACATTATTCCTTAAATGGTATGTGTGTGTGTGTGTGTGTGTGTGTGTGTGTGTGCACACGCGCATACACATGTGGGGTGAGTGTGCATACACATACGTGCTTGTGCACATGGAAGTTAAGGGACAACCTTGGCTATCTTCTTTCTCAAGTGTTGTCCACCTTGGTAGCTTCTCCTCCTCCTTCTTGGGATGGGGAAGGATCAGAGTTCCTATTGTCATGGGACTGATAAACTGGACTAAGCTGTCTGGCCAGGGAGACCTGGTGATCTGCTTGTCTTTCTGTCTCTGGCACTAGGATTACAACTGCATCACCACCATGGTCCAATTTTTACATGGGTGTTTGAGATGGACCCCGGGTCTTCATGTTGGAGGTGGAAATTCTTTACTGGAGGAACTGCTTCCCACCCCATATCCTCTAGTCACTGAGAGTCTTGTCTTGGACAGATTGTGTATTGACCCACAGAAGGGTTCATGTTGTACTTAAATCTATTCTTAAGAAATGACTTGCTAGTAACTGTGAGAAAAGTATTCATAGTAGTGAGAGTATATAAATCAGGGAAGCTCAAAATACACTTACTTGCTTTAGGATTGGGGGTACAACTCTTGGGAGTTCAGTTGAGCAGGGTAAGACACCTCTTTTCCATTTTCTTTTTCAATGCCTGGACATTTATCCATTCAGATTTCCTTTATCTGTAGCACAATGGAGAAGAAAGGGATGGTCTGGAAAGGAGGATGCTTTCAAGTACAAGGAACAACGTATCTTACTCAAGGTGGGGACTTACTCAAACAGTCATGCTAGAGACAAAATGACACCATGGTTGGTTAATCCCATGGTACAAAACTATGATCATTTTGCTCAGCAATATCAGGTCTGCTCTCTTACAGTTGCATTACTGTCATTGAAGCTCCAGACATCAAATGTACAAACAGGTACAGGCAAAAGCTTGCTGGGATAGAGTGCTGTACTCTGTTTGGACAGAGGATAGACAATGGATACCTCTAGGGTGTTGCTGTGATGGTTGGTTTTTTTTTTTGCATAAAATCTTTTTTTTATTGCAAGAACATTCTTTTTTTAAACACTTTTTTGTTATATATTTAAATTAGAAACAAGCTTGCTTCCCATGTCAGTCCCAGCTCCCTCTCCCTCCCCTCCACACCCACTCCCTCCCCCCAGCCCCCCCAGCCCCCCACCCAATCCCCACTCCATTCCTCAGGGAGGGTAAGGCCCCCTCCATGGGTTATCTATAGAGTCTGTCATTTCGTTCTGGGGAGGGCCTGGGGGGGAGTGTCATGACAGTTGTTCTTAACTGACACCTTGACCCCGGAAGAGTGTCAAAGAGGAATTATCTAGATCGATGTAGACAAACCTATGTGGATTTTTTAAATTGGATTCACTGAGAAATACCCACCATGAATGTGAATAGTACCATTCCATAGACTGGGCCCTGCACTGGATGAGAGTAGAGAGGGCTCACTGAATACCAACCAAGTATGCTCACATTTGTTTCTCTCTGCTCTTGACTGTGGGTGTGATGTGGTTATCTGCTGCTGTGGCTTCCCTGGTATGAGGGACAGTGACCCAGAACTGTGAGCTCAAGTAAAACTTTTCACCTTCAAGTTGCTTCATGCCAGAGTATTTTATCACAGCAACAGAAATAAAACCACAATGGTTGCCAAGTGGTTCCACAATGGTCATCCTTGGGAGCCAGACTTTGAGAACTCCTGGTTTAGATGGAACTCAACCCATTTTCTGGAAGCCAAAAATGTACCCATTTTGGACGCAGAGCCAAGCATGAAAACTAGGAAAAATACCACCTCTGAGTCTGTGGGAGAAGCATGGTGGGACACAAGGCAAGTGCAGGATGTTTCCCTCCATCTGCCCCCTCTATCTTCTGAGTCCATACCCAGACTCGTCCAGCTTTCCTCCAGGAGCTCATTGCAAATTGGGTGACTTTACTGAAATGTTTTCATTGGTTTCATTTCTGCAGCAAGTCTTTTTCCTTTGAGACCGACATCAACCCAAATCCATCACTGTGTACTCCTTACATGGCCAATAGCTTAAGTGAGCTTTCTCCCTCCTTACCTTGCTTGTAAAACGCCATCACCCCGGGTGTTTATTCAGGCAGCCAGCTCTTTCTGCTCTGTGTCAAGCTCCTCACAGTCCTCCTCTTTGTCCACCCTGGCGCCTCTGCACCATCAGCAAATGTTCCCTCATGGACAGCCACTCTGGGATGAATCACCTGAATTGCTAACTTGAACTTGAGATCTGAAGCAATCGCACCAAGGCTGGCAGCAGCCTCGGGTCAGGGTGGCCATTTTTTTTTAAGGTGGGAAATAATCTATACTCAGTTTCATTCTTTCCCGTGCAGAACTTGTAAGAGAAATGCAATTCATTCTTTTGCTTATGTGGCTTCATAGTTTACTTTTGTTTTATGAGGGGTTTGATTTTTATGGTATTGTGTGTAAGAATTCATTGCCTAAGCCAAGTTCACAAAATTTTCTTCTTTAAGTTCATCTAAAAATTGTATAGTTCTTTTATTGTGTGTATTTATGTGTGGTGTGCATGTGTGTGTGTGTTTGCTAGTGTGTAGGTATATGTATACAGAGGCACACATACATGTGAATGTCAGAAGTTGTCTACAAATGTCTTCCTTAATTGCTCTCCACTTTATGGGCTTAAAGTCTTTCATTTGAACCCAGAGCTCAAAGATTCAGTTAGTCCTGATAGCTGTCTTGCTTTGGGGATCACTGTCTGCCAACTTAGCACTAGGATCAGAGCCATGTTCCTATGTCCCTGTGGCATTTACATGGGTCCTAGGGATCTAAACTCCTGTCTTCGTTCTTGCGCAGAAAGACCTTTACTCTAGGAGCCATCTTCCCAGTCCAACTTTAATGTTTACGCTTGGATCTCTAATGTATTTTGCTCGCTTTTTTATATATGATGTGCCTAAGGGTTTCTGTCAGGACAGAAACTCAAACAGGGCCAGAACCTGGAGGCAGGAGCTGATGCAGAGGCCGTGTGTGTGTGTGTGTGTGTGGGGGGTGCTGCTTAACTGGCTCACTTCACATGCTTTTCTAAGCCTGCTTTCTATAGAACCCAGGACCAGCAACCCAGGGGTGACACCACCCACAACGGGCTGGGCCTTCCCTCCATCTACTACTAACTAGGAAAATGCCCTACAGGTTTGCACATAGTCTTCTTTTTTATTTTAATGAATTTACTTATTTACTTGCTTATTCATTTATTTTTTTATTTTATGCCCACAGTTTCTCCTCCCCCATTTCCCCTCATCGCTGCCCAATCCACTGCTCTGTTTCTGTTCAGAAAGGGGCAGGCCTCCCATGGGCATCAACAAAGCATTGCATATCAAGCTGTGGTAGGACTAAGCATCTCCCCTTGTATTAAGGCAATCCAGTATGAGGAATAGGCTCCCAAAGCTCAAGTGAGAGAGGGAGGAAGAATTATAGGAGCCTGAGGGGTCAAGGACATCACAAGAAAACCCACAGAAACAACTAACCTGGGCTCATGGGAGCTCACAGAGACTGAATCGACAACTAAGAGTCTGCATAGGACTGACCTAGGCCCTCTACACATACTACAGTTATGTGGCTTGGTATACTTGTGGGACTCCTCACAGTGGGAGCAGGGACTGTCCCAAACACTTTGGTTGGCTGTGGAGGCTTTTTTTCCAATTGTTTCTCCCTCCTCTCAGATGACTTTAGCTTGTATCAAGTTTATTTAAAACTATCAAGCACATGGTATACGGGCTGAGGCAGAGTTAATTCTTTTATATATATTGGTATTGTATTAATCACTTTTCTATTGCTGTGAGAATACATGAGATAAATAACCTCAAAGGAAGAATGGTTTCTGTTGGCTCATGGTTTCAGAGGTCTCAACCCATGGTCAGTTGTACTACTTCTGGGTCTGTGGTTAGGCCACACATCATGGGGGAGAGACCACAATGAAGCAGAGACACCTAATGGTGTCTGGAAAGCACCCAGAGGTGGGGGTCTGGGGGACTGTGTCCCAATATTCCTCTCAAGGACACTCCCCAATGTTCCTTCCAGTGGGCTCTGCCTACTGATGGGTCCAGCACCTGCCAGGAGTGCTGTGATCTGGCATTCAAGCCTGTAGCTTAGGGACCTTTGGCAGCCACTTAAAATAAAAATGTAGTCTATCTAATTATTCCATCTCCATTAGTTAAAACATCATCCTCTCCTTCCTGAAGTAGCTTTACATTTATTCTAAAATCGACAGAGCATGTAGATACGGGTGTACTTCAGACCTCTGTATTAAATTTGCTGTCCATATTGACATGGATAGACCTTGCTAGTCTGTTCTTAATTCTCTCTTCTGTTCCGTCAACCTTTCATCTATTGCAGTACCATGCCAAAGTATCTTTGGTTTTTTTTGTTTGTTTGTTTGTTTTGGTTTTTGGTTTTTGTTTGTTTTCTTTCGAGACAGGGTTTCTCTGTGGCTTTGGAGGCTGTCCTGGAACTAGCTCTTGTAGATCAGGCGGGTCTCCAACTCACAGAGATCTGCCTGCCTCTGCCTCCCGAGTGCTGGGATTAAGGGCATGCACCACCACCATCCAGCACCAAAGTATCTTAATTACATTACTTTTAATAATATTGAAGTAAGAAAATGCAGAATCTGTTCCTATCTTTCAGGATTTTTGTTTGTTGCATTCTTTACATTTCCCTGTAAATTTTAGAATCAGCATGCTAATTTCAATCAAACATTTTCTATGACATGGTTGGGATTTTTTGGTGTATACCTGTGTGCATACATGCATATAAGTGTGTTCACCCACAGGTTTGCATGTGGAGGCCAGTGTCTTCCTCAGTTGCTCTCTGCTTTTGGGGACAGTCTCTCACTGAATCTGGAGCGTACTGATTGCCTGCTGACCGTGAGCTCCTGGAGTGCTGCTGTCTTCCCCTCCCCAGCTGTAGGACTGCAGGCATGTACACTGTAGCACCTGGCTTTTAGGTGGATACTGGGCTTTGAACTCTGGCCTTTGCACTTGTGACTTGTGCAATGAGCATGTTCTTGACTGACAATCCTCTCTAGCCGCCTACAGCATGGATATTTGACTAAGAGCGCGCCAGGAAACTTGGCACAGCTGCCCCGAGTTATCTGATGCCTTCAGCTGTTCTTTCCCTCCATTTGTTTGTCTCCCATTCCTCTCAACTGTGCTTTCTGGGTTGGAGTACACAGATCTTGTTCATGTTTTGCCAGATTTATCTCCAAGGTTTTTACACTCATAGGCACTCTAAATGGAATTTTAAAACATTTCAACAGCCCAGTTGTCCACTGGTCATTTATGCACATAGCTAGCTTTATATTTTCATTTTGGATTCTGCAAATGTTCTCCAGTTATTATTAGTGCTGGTAGCTCCTCTGTAGATTCTTTACAGTTTTGACATAGGATAACTTTACTTCTTTTCCAGTATGAATGATTTTCCTCCTCTGCTCTCTCACACTCCCTCCCCGTCTTCCTTTGTCTGTGTGCCTACTTAGAACCTCCAGTATAACACTGAAATAGTCCCTTGAGAGAATGCCCTCATCTAACTCCTAACCCTCGCTTCACCACATTCCCCCCTCATATACTCACCCCTCACCGTATCAGTGGGATGCTCGCTCTGGGTTTCCCACTGTAATCATTTGGACTGAGAGGATTTCCTCTGAGGTTTGGTTTTCCGGGTCTAGAGACTCCATTCACTCTGTATCAAGCTACCTGGAGATGTCCCCAGTCCACAGATGTTCTTTAACTTTTTCATTGTTTGTCTGTGTTTAATTCATTTAGTTTCTATTGCTAGGCTTTAATATTGACTAATCTTTTCCTTTATTGTGACTAATCTGTTTTAAGAGCACCTGGTGTGCTGTCTGCCTTGGATATTGTCATTCTCTTAGAGTTCCTCATGTCTCCACTCTCACCCAATTTCTGAAACTCGTGGAATACAGGCATAAAAACTATTTGAATGCCTCTGCCTACTAGTTGAGTCATCTATGTCATTCATGCTCTGGTTTGGTTAGTTATTTCCCTTCTGACTACGGGTCATTTTCTCCCAGTTCTCTGTGTGTCCAGTGTTTTTGTTGCTTTGTGGTGCCCTAGTCAAGTATCTGAGAGACCTCTTGGTCACTTGTCTCCTACGTAGCAAGCTGGTAGTGAACAAGTCACACATGAAGTAGTGATCTAAGCACAACGCCCAGTGACTACAACGATCAGTTCTTTTTCTCTCTAGTGTTTTCGATACCCAAACCTTTCAGGGAGAAGCTGTCTCCAAACCTCAGTGCCTGGTCATGGCCATACACACTAGGCCTTCTTGGGTGCTACATGTATTTGTGTCACTGGAAGTATTTTCATATTCTAGTCTGGGTTACAACTAAATTATTTGAAAACAGTTTCAAGTTTGATAAAAGGATACTGAGGAGACCACAGGCGGCTGCTAATTTTGTCACATTGCTGAGGTAGAATATTTCCACATGTTCTATACAGGGTTTCGCATATTCCAGAACTTTCTACTCTGCCCTAGATTCTCTGGAATGAACTCTCCTCACTCCTATTGGATGACTCTCATTCTGGCTCCAGGAGTTAGCTGCTGTCTCAGGCAGAGCTCTGTAAGTTTCTGGAATATTCTCTCTACATAGCTCCCTTCTCTGGACCAGACTGGAATGGCCTGCCCCCTCTAATCCTTGTCTTCTTATCTCTGAGAAACAAAGATCCACCTAGGCTGCCCTGTCTGGTGGAGTCAGGTAGTCACAGGGAATCGCTCTGGAACCAACTCCTTTACTGTTAGATGCCTTTACAACTCTTCTTTTGTATTTATTATTGCTATAGTTTACCAAAGGCCTAGGCATTGAAGGTTTGGTCCCCATCTTAGTGCTATTGGGCATGGCAGAAATTTTAAGTGGTGAATGAATGGAGGATTATCAAGCCTCTGGAGAATTGACCTGGAGGGGAACTGTGGGCCCTCAGCCCCTGCTTATTCTCTTTTTCACTTTTTGGCCATGAAGTAAATGGTTTTGCTCAGCACACACTCACTTCTACCATGCTGTACCATCCCAAGTCCAAAGTATCAGGAGCAGTGACGGAAACTGCTAAAACCACAAGCAGGGAGAGTCTGCTTGTAAGCTAGTTGTCTTGGGCATTTGTTATCAGGATGGAAGCTGACAGACACAGTTCTCTCCTTCACTGCTTTCACACAGAAGGGAAATCTGGTCCTTTTATTTACAGCTCCGCACGTCTAATTTTAAAGCCTTTGCCAGCAAGCAAAAATTATCAGGCCCAGGCCTTGTTCCTGTGGGGCTTTCTCTAAGTTGGCAAGTTTTTCCAGCAAGTCACCACAGATTATGCTGCAGAGCCTATGTGCTGAGGGAACACTGGCTAATGTTTTACCTTCAGTGAGTTGCAAATGTCTCTGAGTCTCAGTTTCCCCATCTGTAACTAAGGGGCATGCTAGTCCTGTGGTTTTTATTTAATTGTGTGTTTCAGTCTGCCCACACACCAATTATGCAATGTTGGTCAGATGCTAGTCTAGAGGTTGCTGTGAATATATTTCATTATCATAAATGAGTGTCTATACTTGACTGACTTAGGGAAATGACCTTTGATGAAGCTGATGGAGCTCATCAAATCTGCTGAGGACTTTAGAAAAGTGAAAATATCCCAGAGAAGAGCGACTTCTACAGGGCAGATCCTGCCTGAGTTTCTTTCCTACCTGCTAGCTCTGTGAACTTTGAACTTGATGGTCTATACACTCCAGTGAGCCAATTCCTGTGGTCTGCCTTGTCCTTTCTAGAGAGACTTAGATGTGAACTTGTGGTTTTAGATATTTAGTAAGTCATCAAGAGTTAGTATCTCCATTATCTCATAAGGAATTCTTACAAACACATATAAACCCTATGGACATACCTGACGTCCAAGGTAATGCGACCCCATCTCAATTTTTTTATTGAGCCCTCAACTGTGCTTAGATGCAGGAAGAGACCTGTGAGCAAAGAGTTCTCTTTTTGTTTTGTTTTTACATGACCTCATGTAGCCCAGACTGGCCAAGAACTTGCAGTGTAATCTGGTCTTATTATATAACCCAGGCTGGCTTCAAACTTGTGATTTCCCTGCCCTAGCTTCTCAAGGGTTTGCAGACACACATCATACTGCTCGGATTGCTCAATCATGAACGAGGCCTCCGAGTCTCCTTATCTCCTAAACCGTAACTGAATGTACTCACAGAGACCAGAGATGAGACAAACTGAGCAGTAGTTTCTGAACTTAAAGCTGGATGATTAGGACGATCAGTTCCTTTCCCTTCTCTGTCTCCTCCACACCATCTGAAAATAAGTACAATTTGAAAATAAAATGCAAATTACATGTACACATTGTCACTTTTACCACTGAAAGTTTTCAACCCATCAGTTACAATGTATGCATTGATCTTTGAAAATAAAAAAGTCTCATTTAAAAGTATGTTTGTTTCTGTATTAAACACAACTATGCAGGTTCAGAAGTAGAAGCCACACGGGGCAGGTCACGAGCATCATGTCCCTGCAAACATGAAGGTTGAAGCACTGACTTTGTGAGCAGGGCTGCCAGAAGGTTCTTTAAACTCCGCTTGCTCCCATCGCTGAGGCTCTGGGGAGGTAAAATCAAGAAATAATTTCAGAGAGGGCCCAAACCACTGTCAAAGTGATGTTGTATTAATAATGAAATAAAGATCAAACTGCTAATTTATATAGTGAAAAGTCTGCCTGGAAGAGTGGGGTGCAATAGCCTTGAATTCCTGTGCTATGCTCCCCAGAACCCAGATTATCCAAGGATGGTACAGCAACCTGTAATCCTGCTTGCAGGAAACTAAAGCAAGAAGATTTTGAGTTATGGGATGGATGTGATGGCTCCATAAGCAAAGGTGCTTGTCACAAAGCCTGACAACCTGAGTTCAATCCCTGGGATCAATATGGTAGAAGGAGAAAACAGACTTTTGCTGCTGTCTGACCTCCACAGACAAGTCATTCACATCTGCCCACACTCACACATGTGCACACAAATGAATTAATGCATATTTTTAAAAACTTTTTCTTAAAAGAAGAAAGAAAGCCTTTTCCACCGAAGAGCTTCCTTGCATTCTTTAACAACATTTGAATTTTCTTCCTTATCACAGCCTGATGCACACCATTAACATGGAAACCTACTATTTCTGGTTTACATTTTCACTATTAAGTCTGTCTACACAGAGCTTGTGAGGCGAGGCTCCCAGGAAGTCTGAGTGGACCTTCACTCCATCAAGCCACTTGCTAGAGTAGATGCATTCATTAGTTATAGGAGGAGTAACTGCAATGAGCTCACTCTCTTACCACCTCCTGTAGGCAGAGATTTGAGCAATAGGAAAATTGTGATTGCCTTAGCTCAAGTAAATATGGATAATTTATAGCGAATGGAGAGAGTACAATATAATAATGGAAAAATGTTTGACATTTTAATTTATCTGGTGCTCCTTTTCACAGTAGATTTAGGAAAATAAAATGTGTAAGCTGAAGCTATTGAAGTTCTAAATCCTCAGGTATTCTGATATGGGACTGTTTTAGTCACATAAAAATGGAAATTTTTGCTTTGGAAAGAGAAGAAACAACGAGAACCAGAAAATAGATGAGTATAACTAAAGGATGAATTTTAAAGAATGCTTGATTTACTCATTTAACCTTCATAATGTGTCTCCCTCTATGAAACTGACATAAATAAGCACAAAAGAGTCACTCTAGAACACACACAAGACTGTACGTTTTGGCGAAGGGGAACTGAATCACGTTTCTTTCAAACTTTTTTCTTTCTTTGTACTTTTATTGGCTGTCTCTTGCCAGTTATTATTCTCCATAGTTGGATCATTACAGCTGCTAAAAAGAAAGCTAAGAGTCAAGCAAAGACATAAAAGAAGACTCGATGAGTTTTAAAACTGTGAACACTCAAGGAAACAGTGAAGCTAGCACACCTGGTCTAACACATACTTGGACCATTGTCATAGTTGATGAGAAATGTATTCCACTGGGCATTAGCAGGGATCAACCCTGCCCAGAAATCCACTGACAGCTCTGCATTTTAGGCGAAGACTGAGATTTTTATGGCTCTCACTATCGCCTGCAGTATACAAAATGGATTAAAAACTCAACAAGGGGCCCTGAAGTCATGCCAAGTCCCCATTAGTAGAATATCCTATTAAATGAAAATAAGAAAACTTCAAGAATATCTGTAGAGAATTGTGAATTACATAGAAGTTGAACCATCGAATTTATGATGGGTCTTTGGCCAGAAAATGAAGAGTCTCTAAGAGAATGAAATGCTTATTTGAAGGGCGGTTGCACCATGGGGCAGATGGGCATCTGTAACTCCATCAGTGTGTACATATTACGCCCCCACTTCGCTAAGAGGGAAACGTCTGATGTTCCCCAAATTGAATTTCAGTCACTCAGCAAAAGCGCCAGTTACACCAGCCTGAGGACAGCTCAAAGGTTCACCCACCTCCCTGTGAAACACCCCTGGAGTTTCCTACTTCTCCTATGTGCAGTACGTGTCTTTTTCTCATCCATCTTCTCAGGTTCACTGGTTCGTGTCACTTTTGAACAGTATTTTCCTTTGGAACCATCAGCTGAAAAAACTCTTCAGCCTTATGTTGTCTCATAAAGATTTGCTCTGATTAAAACCAGACTCAGGGTGTAGATCCGCTGTCGTTTCTTCCCGAAACACAAACAGGGAAATTTCAATAAAAACATTCCAGTTCCCACCAGAGACTTGGTGGATTGATAATCCAGGTATTACCCTATCTACAAGCACGCATCTAGCACACAGGGCCCTCTGGGATGCATTTTAGAAGCCTGACCTAAGATTTTCGTATTAAGAATGGAATGCAGCATCCTTTGATTTCTTAAAGCCCCAATTTCGAAGAAAGGAGCCTTTGCAAATGTTTCCATTAGGACCCAGCACTAAAAGGTATCTCGCTCAATACTGACTTCATTCTCCTTTCTCAATGTCTTTTAAAGCTGGCTGCAAAGCACCCAGGGATAAACAGGAAAGGTGCACAACACTGATTTGCTTATAGCAGCCTCCATTGCATGTATAATGACTGTCCATCAAGACAAGAGGTGAACAATGTAATAAGGTATACACAGGGTGACGGTCGAGTGGTCGAGGGGACCCTGGCCCCATCCGTACTGCTTCTGTGATCTTGGTTACCTTAAATAAATGTCAGTATTTCCATTTACATCTGTAACTTAGAAATAATAAGTCAGCCAGCTCTTGAAGTGCAGCATGGGATAACAGCTGCTAAAAATGTCCCTAGCACCAACGACAGTGCCTAAAATATGACAGCCACTCTGCAAGCATAAATAGAGATGTGAGCACAGCACACCAGGCATGTAGCTAGTGCTTCTATGGTGCATTAATATTAGGCATTCATTTAAAAGTTTCAGGCATCAATATGTAAAAATGCAGAAGTATAAATAAAAAGGCACGTGTTACAAATTTTATGAAAATGAGAAAAATGGGCAAAATATTCATATATAATTTACTATGCACAAATTTGAATGCACACAGGCACACTCACACAAATCTTTTGGAAGCATGTATAGGCAGCAGATGCTCACTTCCTTACACACTATTCGTAGTGCTTGAATTTTGGTCACTTGCAAGGAGAGTGGATTCTAGAAAGCAGTTTCTCTTTTCTCTACTTCTCCACTCCCCCTCTTCCTCCTCACCTCCTCCTCCCCTTCTTTGGCCTCCTCTGTTTTTGTCTCCTTTCCCTCTGCCCCACCCCTGCTGGGGATAGAACTCAGGGCTTCATACATGCCAGACAAATGCTCTACTGTTCATTTCTATCCCCAGCTCTGTATGCACACTCTGTATATTAAGGGTAACTCTTGAAATAAAGGTCATGGAGAAGAAGGAGAGTATGTAGGGTCAGGCATGGGGAGAAGTTGATATTCAGTCAGTCCCCAAACCTCAGTTAGCCTCTCAGGAAGATCAGAAGTGGGACTATGCCTCAAAGTTGGCAAGCTTCCTGGGTAATTTCATTCACAGCAGTCAACTTCCTTAATAGGTAATTCAATACATTTTACAATAATGCAGGAGGATGGAGAACTAGCCAGCACAGGGCAAAACATGGAAACTACTCAGCTTTCTTGTTTAGACCCAACTAGTATTACTGAGAGCTTAGGGCGGATTCTTGGGGCTACCAAAGGAATAAGACTGCAATGCAGAATCTACAACACAGACAAGTGCATGGGGGTCAGGTAGGAGAGACACCTGTGGCTGTGCCAGAGTGAGACATTGGCTGTGGATACCCACAGACACATATAGGCATATTTAATAGAAGAAAAATAAGGAAGGAGTAATGATTTCCTAGCATTTCACACACACACTGTGGTTGGTTTTCTTCCTCAGCTCACAAGCCAGGTTAGTTCAAGTACAATAGAAGAGAGAAGCTTCATGAAAAACCCCAACTCCTCAACACAAAGACACCCTCAGCTTGCTTTTTACTTCACAGGTTTTATTATGTTTATTCACGCGTCGGCATGTATGCGCCACAGTGCATATGTGGAGGTCCAAGGTCAACTTGCAAGAGTCAGCTCTCTCCTTCTCCATGTGGATACTAGGAATTGAACTCAAGTCATCAGGCTTGGAGGCCAAGTGCTATAAGCCACTGAGCTATCTAGTCAGCATAACTAGATAACACCTCAGCTTTAATACTATCTGTGCTTCATCCATTCTTGATCACCTAGAATGACAAAATTACTTTAAACTAAACGACTTTTCACAAAATCATTATGTAATATTGGCTATTGACTAGCAACCTACTACTGATAGTTTGGCAGCAAACTGTCCCAAGTTGGAATTTTTTTAAACAGAAAATGGATAAATCAAAGAGGTACAAGTATAATCTGAAGTAGGTGGTGGCATCACACTAATGCTGGTTTCCTGGTTGGGGTAAATTATGTTTATACAACAATAACACTATGGAATACTGTGTGTTGGTTTGTTTCAACTTCCAATGGACACAACCTAGAATCACATAGGAAGAGGTTTAATGAGAGATTATTCAAATTGGTTTGGCCTATGAGCATGTTTGTGGGAGATGGTTAGTTTGTGTGGGCAGACCCAGCCCACTGTGGGCAACACCATTCCTTAGTCAAGGGATCTACAACTGTACAATACAGGAGAAAACTAGGTGAAAGCAAGCAAGAGGGTAGCATGGGTGCATTTATTTCTCCCTGTCCTTCACTATAGATGTAATGTGACTCCGGCTTGAGTTCCTGCTTTGCCTTTCTTGCAGTGACAGAATGTAACC